CTGCTTTCTTAATTACTTCAGAAAAAGAGAACCAGAAAGGGTATGAAGTGAGAGAAGGTTTTATATTCCAGTTGCAAAGCTTGGGGGATTTTTAAAGCTAGTCATTTGGAGTTAATTGCTTTATATTTGATTCTAGGTCAGGCAAAGGACCAGAGTTTTGAATGAGTTGGATCCAGTTAATTGATTGGGACTGACACTCTGTCCCTACACATTCTGGCATTGCTTTACCTACCTGCTTCCCAGGGACAATTTTGTGCTTCAGAGTTGACACTGAGATTGGAAATGTTGCCTTGTGGTTGTGACTTTTTTGTTTTTCTTTACTACAATTCACAGAATCCTCTAGCCAGCCCCTATGGTCACTGAGATTTGGAGTCCAAAAAAAGTAGTATTTCCAACAGCTGTGTTGAAGACATGACATGTCAAAGTGGCTGCAGAAAAGTCACTAACAGCAGACCTATCCCCTCTTCCTTCCTACTGAAACAAGATTGCTAATGTCGGTTTTGACACCCTGGTGCCTTCCAGAGGGAGTGGACCACAACCACCATCATCATCCCCAGCTAGCATGAACATGGATCGTGAGCTGGGATGGAGTGATGACCATTGTAAGAGTTTTCACATGACAGACATATTTCGTGACACTTGCCGTCATTCCTTGCCAGCACACTGGTTATGGTCATGCTGGTTGGGGACGATGGGAGTTGTGCTCCAATGCTTCTGGAGCCAAATGGCAAAAACCAGAGCACTAAGAACCAAGGTACCAGCTGCTTCTGAGCCCATGTTTAACTCTGACCTTGGTCAGCACTGAGTCCCCAGGTCTTTTCATGAGATGCCACTCCTGATTTCTCCTCAGCCTAGTTCTGATTTAGCAGGGTGAGGACAATGCACTCCCAAGCTTGCTATTAGACAGTAAAATCCTTGCTCTTTGAAATCTATGGGAAGATACTTAACTAACTTCCATCCATCGCTGACCAAGAATCAAGGTAGCACTCTTAGGGTGGCAACTATACAATCCCGCCACTGCCAGTACCACATCAGTGGAGCCCCGTACAGCCTGTCAGGCCTGTAGGCATGATCTGGTTAGCAGGTGTGTTTGAAGCAAGAGTTTGCCTCCTCAAGAGAAAACTGAGGAAGGAAGACAATGCCTGGATGAGGAAGCCGAAAAGTAAGTATCCCTAGGCAGTGAAGCCAGGCATTGACTCTGATTCTTGTTAAGAGTGAATTTGCTTTTTCTTCTTTTTCCGTCAGTGCTGGAAATGTCTTTTGAAGGGAAATTGTTTGATCAACTGCTGAATGCACAGCTTCAAGAGCCTCCAGCATTCGGCAAGAGACACTTTCTTTTAATCTAGCCCTTCTGTTCCTGTAATAAAGTATACATTTTCAAAGCAAGCAGAGGGAGCACATTACCTCAAACACAAGAGGATATAGGCATGAACCACAATGTTGGTTGCTTTGAAAGCCTACCTTGAGGGAGGCAAAGGGAATGTTTCCTGCTAACATGTAACGTTATGGCAATAAAGCAAAATGTACTTCCTGTACCAGTGACAGCCTTTCATTCTACCCCTGGTCTGAACCCAGTGACATCTCTTAAGACAGGGGAAATTTGGTCTTTTCCCATACTTATAGCTCTATATTACCAGTTCAATGGGCAAATCTGAGGTGGAGCTTGCCAGCCCACTTTTGAGGACTCAGAAGCCAAACCATGCTTTTCTGGATATTCAAAATGGCTTCCTGACAAAAAAAAATGGTCGCCAGCCTTCGTGATAAAAATGAGTTACTTAAAACTAGGGCTGAGGGAATAATCATGTTTCACCTTCCTTTTTAAGTGAACCAACCTTATTCACACTTCCCAGACTTATATGCAGGTCAGAACACAGTAGTCTTTCAGGCTCAGCACATCTCCAAATTTTATGATGCATTTCTTGGCTCCAGCGTGGCATATGAAAATGCATATATTAAGGAATGGTGTGTAGAGACGTGTATGATGGGTGCACTTGCGTTCAAAACTGTGTACATGAAAAAAAGTTAGGGGGAAGCATGGGGGGATGCAGTGTACAAAACAGACATGGCAAGAGAAATGGCATACAAAAATAAGTGTGCACAACAGTGGCAGACCGATACAGAACTTGAATGGAAGAGACGTCTAAGTGAATACATGCAAAATTGACACAGAGTGGGAAAAGTCTTGTTATGGAAGGGAGCTGTCTAAGGTCAGTTCAGCTTTTTCACAGATGGGTTTGACCATGGTTGTAACTCCTAGAAACAATGCCAGCCTTCATTTTGAGAGAGCTTATCATTAGAACCATTAAGATCTTTGTAGGAAGATTTCAACATTGGTCAGAAAGTTAGACATAATTTTACCAGTACATACCAAGCAATTTCCTGAAGTTTCTGGCTAGTCATTGATCATAGGAAGCCCATGGTCTTAGGGCAGGAGGGCCACTTCACCTGAAAATTTTACAGAGAAAACAGAAGGAGCTTGAAGGCTGAGAAGCAGGATCCAGTGTTCTAAGATGAAGGCAGAGCCTGGAACTTTGATTTATTTGCAGTGCAATAATGTTAGTGTTTTTCCAGTCGTGATGTATGGAAGTGAGAGCTGGACCATAAAGAAAGCTGACGAAGAGTTGTGAATTGTGGTGCTGGAGGAGGCTCTTGAGAGTCCCATGGACTGCAAGGAGAACAAACCTATCCATTCTAGAAATCAACACTGAGTGCTCACTGGAAGGACAGATCCTGAAGCTGAGGCTCCAATACTTTGGCCATCTCACGAGAAGACTCCCTGGAAAAGACCCTGAAAGCAAGAGGAAAAGGGGACAACAGAGGACGAGATGGTTGGTCAGTGTCATTGAAGCTACCAACATGACTTTGCCCCAACTCCGGGAGGCAGTGGAAGACAGGAGGGCCTGGCGTGCTCTAGTCCATGGGGTCACAAAGAGTCGAACACGATTTAACAACTAAACAACAACAAATGCTAGTGTTGGTAAGTTTGATTAAAAAGGCTGCTGGTAGAGTGGTGTGTGTAAAATCTATGTTTCCCTCATTTGTCATGAACATTCATTTATTTAAATTTATGTGTCAAATTGGAGCTTAAAGGCTTACATAAAACACTCTGTGTGTCACTGATAATGTGTTCATCCACGCAACTTGCATTTCATTCATTCTCCTGCGGTTTCGTCAGCTGGGTATGATAGTTAATAGTTCTGAAGTGCACGTCAAAGCTAGACCAAGATCACAGGATGCAAGGAGTACAGTTAACAAGCAGCAAAAGAAGCCAGTCAAAATATGAAGATTTGCTGCCCTCTCTTGGGTAATGGTGGGACTCTAAATAAGCATTTGTTGAGGAAGAAACTTTATGAGGAGTTCCAAATAAAAACAGAGACAGCCATGTAGTCCATTATACAATAAAAGTTCAGGAGTGGTGATGCCTTTATTAGACCACTAAAAAAGAAACATTCAGTGGGAACTTTTATGATTAAAAATCAAGCTGTTACACTAGCTCCACTGGCTGCTGATCCATTTCCAGGCACAATTCTAAGTGTTGGTTTTAATTCGTAAAAGGTTCCCTTGACAATTTTTGTCCAGTCGTGTCCGACTCTAGGGGGCGATGCTCATCCCCGTTTCCAAGCCATAGAGCCAGCGTTTTGTCCGAAGACAATCTTCCGTGGTCACATGGCCAGTGCGACTTAGACACAGAACGCTGTTACCTTCCCACCGAGGTGGTCCCTATTAATCTACTCGCATTTGCATGCTTTCGAACTGCTAGGTTGGCAGGAGCTGGGACAAGTGACTGGCGCTCACTCCGTCATGTGGATTCGATCTTATGACTGTTTGGTCTTCTGACCCTGCAGCACAAGCTTCTGCAGTTTAGCCCGCAGCGCCACCACGTCCCACGGTTCTAATTAGAGTTGGATACAAACCTTGGACAGACAGAATGGTTTCCTATAAACAAAAGAGTCAGACAAATGTGCATTTTATCCCTTTTATCTGTTTAATTTGTATGCAGTATATGTCATACAGAAACCCAGACTGAATTCAGATGAAGGAGGAGTGAAAACTGGTTGAAGAACCATCAATAATTTAAGATATGCAGATGACACCATCTTACTGGCAGAAAGCAACAATGACTTGAAATGACTTTTAATGAAACTGAAAGAAGAAAGTGCCTAAGCAGGACTGCAGTTGAACATTAAGAAGACAGAAGTCACATGACTACAGAAGATCTATACAACTTTAAGGCTCACAATGAAGACACTGAAAGAAAAACAGATTCTGTGTACCTTGTTTTAACCACTGATCCAAATGGAGAGTTTGGTCTAGAAATCAGAAGAAGACTGAGACTATCTACACTCTTGTATTTCCAGTTATCATTTATGTGTGTGAAAGCTAGAGAGTAAAGAAAACTGAAAGGAAAAAAACTGATTCATTTGAAGTGGTGCTGGAGGAGAGCTTTTTAGATACCATGGACTGCCAGAAAACCTGAACTATCTCTGGAGGCAAAACTGGCGAAACTGAGACTCTCCTGCCTTAGGCACATTATGAGAAGGCAGGATTCTCTGGAAAAGACAATAATGATGGGAAAGGTGAAAGGCAGCAGGAAAAAGAGGAAGACCAAATACGAAATGGCTTGACTCCCAAAAGGAAGGCACAGACCTGAGTTTGCAGGAACTGAGCAGGGCTATTGAGGACAGGACATTTTGGACATTGTGCTCTCATGTCTCCAACTTGGTGGCACATTACAATAATGGAGTGATTTTAAACCAATATGCGTCCTAATATGCGGAGTAGGGGTAATGATGAGACTGGGCTGCTCACTCTGTATTTCTTACTCTGCTAATGAAAAAAAAATAATGAAAATAATATTCCCAACAAAATCTAGACCATTTTTAAAGTATCCCAAGATTCCATTTTTGTTGCATCAGACTTACAGGATTTCATGAAGAATATACATACACAAAGAGCACTCATAAACATTAAGTACTGAATGAGAAAAATTTAATTTGCTGCTTTCCATCCATCTTTCATTAAATGAAATAGAAACAAAAATAAACCTGCTTTTCAGTGACAGAAAGTAAAAAATATTATTAACCTTGTCACACCTAACTAGATTCACTGTGGCTTCTCCACTGTATCAGACAGGGGAATACAATATATTTGTTCTGTGGAAGATGAACATTACTCTTTCTTCACCCATATGCTGATTCTCCTAATTCTCAACCATTGTTTTTGTGGGGCTGTGACTTGTATTCGAAGACAGTCTATATCATCCTCACTACTCTTGTCTTCCATTTCAAAAAATCCATCCTTAAAGACCCCAATTCGTTGGAAAGTCAGGCATGTCTGGCCGTCATGGGAATGAACTTTCAGTCTGCCCTTTTCTACATAACCATCATAAAGAATGTCCTGGTTATATTCAGCTGATCCTGTGTGAATCTGAATTTTCTGGGGGACAATGGGATGTGCAAAGACAACTGTGAAGAAGCTCTTAGATGTGATGTTCTTGCCCCAAAAGACACCCCTACCAGGAGGACACACATCGCTGGGCATGTAGTTTGAAAAGTTGGGAATATTTGTGAAACAAGAAGCGAGAGGAAAATCTCCCAAATCGCCATTGTCTTCTTCAAATTCTGGGTCTTTGAACTGAGTCTCCATGCTGTGAAATGAAGAGACTCTACCTATGTGCTGAAACAGTGAAGGCCGGAACATAATGGCATGTTCTTGAGCTTGGGATCGATGGAAAGCTTCCAGAAGCCAATCTGCAGGCATTGCATCATAGAACAGCAAGAGGAACCGGGCCAGTTTATAAAGATCAGAGCTGTGATAAAGTTTCCCAATGGAACCCAACCTTGAAAATGCTATTGTGGTCCAAGGTGCCTCCCTCTGTCTCACATAGCGTTGTATAATGGCTACAAAACTGGTGGCACAAACAATATCATCTTCAAGCATTAGATAATAGTCAGAGAGACCAGCGCAGAAGTTAACTAAGTAAGCATAGTCTACATTCTGTTTGGCTCTGGCCCCATTTTTTCCCTCATTTCCCCAATGACTGGCTTCCAGGGTGCTTAAGTGGGGATAACCAGCTAAAGAGCTTTCTATAACAAGCAGCCTTCCTGAATTAATATGTGCACTGAACTCAGCCTCAATTTCTCTGGCACTTTGCTCATTTAGCTGAATGTTGTTATTGGCTAGATATATGACTAGGGTTATCAGCTGCAGCTCTTCTGGGGAGCAGTGACTGAAAATGGAGCTAATGGTCTTCAATAAATACTCTTCCTTTACTTTGTGGACAGAAGAAATTCCAATGGTCAAGAATCCTAGAGAGGGTAAAAACAATATCACATTTGCACGGCACTTCTTTCTTTCTGATGCTCTGTACAACCACCCTCTCAGGTAGATAATAATAAGATAATTGTGGTGGTGGTGGTGATGAAGATGCAGCCACTGCCTACTGCTACCACTGACACGGTTGAAATATTATGGTTGATTTAATTGTTCCTTTTATATGTGTCGCAATATTATGACTATATTATTATTATTTCTGTATATTATATCCATAGTTCATGCATTTGTCCATCTAGCCACATTTATTTGTGAAATGATGATGAGAGGCAGACAATGAGTCAGCTCCAGAAACCACACCCAGCTCACCTTCACATTGTAGACACATCCCCAGTTTTCCCACCTCTCTCATAACAACAGACCCAAGCCAGTGACATCTCTAAAGTCCTCTAGGGAGACCTTCCTTGCTCACAGCCTAATCTTTTTGCCACTCTGCAAAAAGGTCCTATTTATGTATAAACATGTATTGTTATCATTCTCTCAGGCTGAATCCCAAGTGCTGAATCTCTTACAATCAGCTGCTTCTCTTAAAGCAAGCCAGTGGACAGGGCCAATGTGGCAGGTCAATCACGTGTGTGATTGATTGATTTGCTCTGACTTGACTGGTACAGCTTTCAGTAAAGGAGAACCTGCATAATAAGGCCCACTGACCACTTAAGAGATTCTTCCAGCTGTGTAACTGCCCCCCAAAATGCATTTGCTATACAATGACAAGGGAAAATTGCCAAAAGGAAAAGTCATGTATTGCAGACCACATATTTCAGATCAAGGATGCACAGAGTTAGGAGTAGCATCCCAGAGATGATTCAAGTCCAACCCCTGCCAAGCCAGGAAATAATTACTTTGGCAATTTGCTACATAGGTGTTGGATTAATCTCTCTCTCTCTCTCTCTCTCTCTCTCTCTCTCTCTCACTCACACACACCACACACACACACACACACACACACACACACACACACACACACACACACACACACACACACACACTTACTTTTGTTTCATGTACATCAAAGATTACCACATTCATAATCACCTATACTCACTCTTTTTCAAGGGTGGTGATCCCACGAGATATGTATATTGCACAGGCAAAGGACCCATTGCATTTTCTATTACACTGACATTTGATCTTTGTGACTTCTTCCATATGATATCGTCCAGATTCATTGTATTCTGTTCATTGGCAACCTTAAACATAAAATAACACAGTTTTTCCAATGCTTGCTGTGTGGATTCTCCCCACATGCACCTGCACCATGATGTTTGTCGTATATTTCACCCTTCCTTAATGAAATCAGTATGTAGCTCTCCTTACCTTATTAGGGTGGTATGCCCAATGGTTGAGCTGACTGAATTTCTGAAAACTGGAAGACTGGCATTTTTGACGTGTTCTACTTAGGGTGTGGTTTCAGACAGGCATTTAGTCTGTGTTTGGTCTGTTGCAAAGTTGGGTTGGTTGATCATACAAGAAAACTGCAGGAGTGAACAAGACTGTCCCCAGAGCATTCCTAACTACACCTTTCTGGATCCTGTTAGGGACTACTTTTTTTCAGTGTGAGTAGAATCACTCTGTTTTGGTTTGTTTCCAGCATGTGTGATCACTGGAAACAAACCAAAGTAGGTTTTTAGCTCTCAAGGCTCCTGCCATGGCCAGTAATTCGTGATGGATTTGTCTCTGTACAGGTTCTCAAACTGACTTTTAAGACAAATCAAAATAAAAAAAGGGGGGAAAGATTCCCCTTGTTATCATTTCCTGTTTCCTCCCACTTCCAGGAAGAAGTTTTCAATTTTTAAACATTCTTTATAAGTGAGGTAGCACATCTGCACTGTCCTAATAGGTTTTTTAAAAACTTCTGTCTCTTCACAAAGGAGCAGAAGAAGTGTTTGATTTGCCAAAAAACCTGAAGTTTGCCCTTTTCTTAAGCCACAATATGGCAAATTGATAGTGGAAGGAACCAATAAAATAGGGTTCCTTGAGTTCTGATATGCCATTTGAATGTAAGGATCACACCAAATGGCATACCAAACCTCTACCTGACTCATGCGACCCTATTGAGCCCACACCAGTTTGCTCCAAAACAGCCCAAGTAGACAGGCCCTTACTTCATTGGTTAATATGGAGGTTGTAATTCTGTGCAAAATATGACAGGCTGAAGTTAATGACATCAGGCATGCCTCACTGCATAAATCAGACTTCAAGGCCCAAGGAACAACAAGGATGCAGTTCTAACAAGCTGAGATGGCTGATGATTGGCTGAGCTGGTACTAAGGCAGCAGTTAAAGAGTACTTCTGGGGTAGGGGTGCTGCTTTGGAGGTGGCTATACCCCTCGATTTCGAAGGGGCATGGATTCCGAAGGGGCAGAGGAACTAGAGACCAAATTGCTAACATGTGCTGGATTATGGAAAAAGCCAGAGAGTTCCAGAAAAAAATCTACTTCCGCTTCATTGACTATGCAAAAGCCTTTGACTGTGTGGACCACAGCCAACTATGGCAAATCCTTAAAGAAATGGGAGTGCCTGACCACCTTATCTATCTCCTGAGAAACCTATATGTGGGACAGGAAGCAACAGTTAGAACTGGATATAGAACAACTGATTGGTTCAAAATTGGGAAAGGAGTACGACAAGGCTGTATAATGTCCCCCGGCTTATTTAATTTATATGCAGAATACATCATGCGGAAGGCTGGACTGGAGGAATCCCAAACCG